GCATTGATTTCCATGGTGCAAGGTAGCATTGTACATGCCATTGACCTACAGTTATATACAAATCAGCCTTCCATTAGGTCATACAGCCTTCCTTTTATATGACTGATGCAAATTTTAAAAATAAATAATCTGGGTCTTTAATACCATTTCTTCACCACAGTCACATTTTAAAGCCAGATCAAGAAGTCAGGAACGACATCTATCTACACTATGCTCTGTCATAATGAGAACTGCTTTGTATGCAGTCACCAGAGGTGCAGTTTTGTATAAGTGTGCCCCTGGCAACTTGATAAACCATTCCAGAAACACTGGCTCAGAAACAATGGCCTACTTTTGTTCTTCAATAATTAATAACTCTGATGACAGAATTCTGATCTCAGCCAGGGGCAGAGGGAGGTGGAATGAGTGAAGAGGTTGTCCTTGCAGGCTGTGAAATAGGGGCGCGTGTGGTGCTGCAACCCTCTGTCCACCCCTGAGCCAACACTGGCAGCCACATTTGTTTCTCACCATATCTGTGCAGCTGGACACCTGCCCCAGTCTGTGCTCACCTAGAAAATAGTCCAAGCACTTTCTCCATTCCTGTTCACAAAATGGAACCTCATAAGAGAAAAAAAGGAGAAACCTACTGCTGACAGCATTATTGATTTATGCTTCACCAAGGATTAAGTGTTCAGAGACCTTCATAGGAAGAGCATGCTATTATTAGGTAGGAGGCATTGTTTTAGACAATGATGAGCTATTAAAATATGATTCATATCATTTAGGTAGTTGATTTAAAAAGTTTTGTTCATTATTGCTTTCAGGAAACATTTAACGTTAAGTAGTTTTATCATATGTGGAAAACATAATAAGACACTCATCAATTGTTATATTTTTTCCAGGTGCAACTAATTATCTCTATTAGTAGCTATTTTCAAAATAATTATGCTTTTATATTCATGCTGAAAAATTGAATCGCTTTGTATTGTTTGAAATATAGTACATAAAAACTTTATCCTACCTGTATTCAAGACATTTATTATTTTGTCTGATTTAAAACAATTTTTTTAAAAAAAATTTTAGGGAAAGGTCTACAGGGTGTTCAGGGTCTCACTACTAGATTGGACTCCTAGGGATCCGCCTGTTTGCAGCCTCCCAAGAGCTGGGATTACAGGTGCGCACCACCAAGCCCAGTCTCAATTGCCTTCTCAGTGCACCCCAGGGGTGGGGCCAACACCGCAGGCCTGGGGGTGGATCCCCTGGCCCCTAATCTGCTGAGCTATTTGGCGAGCCCAACAAAATAATTTAAAATAAACTTTTACACACTACTAAGACAAAATTTTTGAAAGTTGTTTGGGTAAACGCTTATTCTGAAAAATAGTCTGCCAAGGGATTAAATTAAGTATTTATGCTGACTATGTAGTTAAAAAAAAAAAAACTTATGAGTAGCTGATGAATAAAAGTTCCTCCAAGAAGATAATTTGAAATTACAAGTCTGTTGTAAATCAGTTGTAGTTAGGAAATACTAAGACATTTTAGTTGTAGTTTCTGATAGAAATCATTTCAGATATATAAAATTAATTATAGACAACTTAAAGGTATTTTAGTATATATTAAATTACAGGTGATATTATGTCAATTAGTTATCTGACACCAAACTCCTTTTTTTTTTCTGTGATACTGATGTTACAGGTTTTCCAGTGATAAAGTCTACAAAAGAGAAAAAATCTCCTTAAAATCTTTTATCCCTTTGCAGATTTCCTGATTTGTTTGGTTTCCAGAGCCTTTGGGTGGGACCCTGTTCAGGGACAGCCCTGTCTGGGAAAAGCTGGGCTCTGTCCAGTGGGGCATGGCTTAGCTATGCAGCCCTCACAGATCCAGAATGCATGCTTTCTTTATCTCTTGGCTACTGATTTTGCTCTTTTGTGAGAAATAGACACAGTAATTAGAGAAAACCTAAGCTAGTTCTCTCATGCCAGAACCCGAAGAGCAGTTGCTATTGGCTGGAGTGATAGTAACTAGAGTTCCACCTTGGCTCCATCTCTTCAGCAAATCGATTGTATTTGTCACCAGAGACTGTTCTCTCATCAGTTCATTCACCTAACTAATTTTAATCGTTTAATCTCCACTAATCTTGCTTCCCAGCTAGAAACACAATTGATTTACCTACTGAAGAAAAATACTCACTGAATTGACTAGAATTTACTGGCAAGCAGCCAAGGCATTTTCCCGTAGAGAGAACTAGGAGACCCCAAGTAGTGGATGCAGAGTCGGAACAGAGGACCCAGGTGTTAGTTTTGCATTGCTGTAGAATGGTTGGAAGAAGGAAAAGCAGATTGTTACAGGGCTTTTCATCAAAGGAGTCCGAAGCCTTAGAATCATCCTTGGAAACTTTGAATCAGATAGGGGGCTCCAATGACTCATCTACTTTATTCAGATTATGGGAAAAACTAAGGTTGGGTCAGGCAAATATTATAGAAATTAAAATTTATTGAAGAAGATTCTGAATTGCACCTAAGCTTATTTTTTTTCTCCAAACGTTTGTTTCTTGTTTTTGTTTCCTTATTCCTGGGAATCCATGTGCTAGGTGGGTTCTCTACCACTTGAGCTATATCCTTAAACTTTCTAAACATTTTATTTCAAAAAATGTGAAAGGTAAAAATAAGCAAGAGAAACCATCCCATGAATATCTGCCGCCCAGGGCATTCCGCCATGGGTGTTTCACGACACTCCTGTACATGTCTGTCTAGCCATCCTCCATCTCGCATTCTAGGTGTCAGAGTGGCAGGTATTAATGTACATTTTTCAACTTTGTACTTTCAAGTTCTCTTATACTTTGAAGACTTTTAAACCTTCGAAGCCCTCTGTACATGTCAGTCAGGCCCTACTGGCTACCCACATTTTGCCAGTCTTATCTCTTTCCCTCAACCTGTACATTTTGGGGGATGGTTTAAATCAGTCAACATACCATTTTGCTTACAAGTCCTTGTATCTCCAACATATAAAATTTTAATGTGCCTTTTAACAGAATTCTTGAGGTATTGTTACCTAATTAGATATTAATTTATCTAATGCCTGATTCATGTCCTTTCACATTTGTTTTACTTGAATCAGGATCCAAATAAGGTCCACATAACACAGGTAGTCAGTGGGTCTCCTAAAATCTCTTAGTTTTATGGTATTCCTTCCCTCCATTTCTTCATAGCATTGGTTTGTTGAAGGAGTTAGAGCACCATCCTGGAGTATTCCATGTTGGCTTTGGCTGGTTGTGTACACGTGGTGTTGTTTGACCAGCTCTTCTCTCCTGCTTGGTACTGTAACCTGCTGCTTAGATCCAGATGTGTGTTCCTCTTCTGGTCCAGGGTTTTGGCAGCAGAATGTCACAGTGGTGCTGCTGTCCACTGGCATCTGCTCAGGCAGCACATGATGTGATCAGCCTGAGGTCAGTGACACAGAGCCTGCCTATAGGTGATGCCCTGGAGACTGGCGCCTCCTGCATGAGGTGTTCCCTTACGCACTTTGCACAGATGGGATCATTTCCTAGATCTGTTCATTAATCTTCCTTTCTCAGCTTGACTATTCTTCTGCACTTCTTGAAGGAACATTTACTCATCAGCTACTTAAAACTATGAAATGCAGGTGGGTTTTTTGAACTATAGATGCTTGATTTAACTCCTTAGCAGACCATTTTTCAGAATAAGTTTTACCCAAACAGCTTCCAAAAGTTTTGCCTTAGTAGCCTGTGAAAGTTTGTTTAGTGATAAACACATAAGAAAATTTACTGTATATAGTACTGGGGATTCAATCCAATGCCTCGACACAGAGTTACATCCACAGCCCCTTTTTATTTCTTATTTAGAAGTGAGACTCACTAAGAAGCTAAGTTGCACAGACTTGATGATCTTTTGATTCTCCTGCCTCAACCACCACCATCCCAACCATGCATCATTGTTAACGGTGCATTTCAGTAGTGTTAAGTATATTCACATTGTTGTTCAGCAAATCTGTAAAATTTTTTCATCTTATGAAACGGAAATTCTGTCCATTAAGCATCTTCCTAATTTTTCCTCCCTGACCCCTTTCCCATTCCTGTCTCCATAGGTGTCCTACTTTGGGCACTTTGTTGATGCCCAGACGTAAGGCATTTTCTTTTCTGTCTGTAGCTTATTTTACATAGCATAATGTCATCAAGATTCATCCATGTTATACTATGTGACAAAGTTTCTTTCCTTTTTAAAATTATATTTAAAGTATTTTTTATTTTTTAAGTTTTATTTATTTTATTCATTTTAAAAAATCAAACTCATGAACTAGCTGTGTTTTAGGCCTTTGCAATTATTATTATTGTTGTTGTTGTTATTTTGCTGCTAAAATTGTGCATCTGTAGCTAAGATTCCTCTCAAGAGAGTCCCCAGGTCCACTTGACAGGACTCAGCAGCTCTGGAGCCCTCCTTCTTTTCAGGGTCAGTGAATGTTGCAGGCTCATCTTGTACATCTCCTGCAACCAGGAAATTGTTCCCTTGCTTATAGTAAATATCATAGTCTGAATAGCAATCAAAACTTACTTTTCAACTAAGTAGGTCATTGTAAAGGGGTAATAAAAATCCTGTATTTGAAATGATGATGTGATTTTTTTTTTCCTTAAGTTTAGGAGGCTGACCAGAGAGACACAGTGCTTCCCCTTGAGATTCACTGTGAACACACCAGTGTGGGGCAGTACTTCCATGAGCCTCTTCAGGAAGATTAGGTACCCAGGCATCATAAAGCTCCCCAGGGGATTCTCTGTCAGCCAAAGTGGAAAATGCCCATTTAGTAATGAAATTATTACCAAAAAATATTTAACAGCTTAAAAAATGATATTTGGGTTCAAATTTTCTATAGTCCAGAATATGTTAGGTTGCAGACTTCTCTGGATAAGCTTCTTTCTTCCAACTAGGCTGTAAGTTCTTTAGAAATATGGCACTGTTATAAGTCGCCCAGTACTGTAAATGTGTGATGCATTTCCTGCTTCTGTCTCACAGATCTGAACAGGCCTCAGGCCTTGGCTTCCTGAGCACACCATCCAGCAAGCCTGCCACCAGCCTGAAAGAATGTGACCAGCCTCTCCACCAAGAAGTAGGTGGCTCAGCTCTTTATTTAGTCCAAAGTGTGGACAAGGGGTCAAAAGTCAGAAATTTTTATTTTTTTAAAGGATAAATTTCAAGATTATATGTTAACCCAGTTGAAGAAATAATATATTCTCAAGAATTATTGACATATTTGAAAAAGTGATAAGTAAGCCTTCAGGATTGGTTTAACTTTCTTATCTTAGTCCTTTTGCCTAATGTTTTGTGAGGGAATCCTGACTGCTAATTCAGATCCGAGCAGTGACCTGATTGATCCCAGCAGTACCTACCAAGTATTTTCTGGGGAACTTGTAAATGTATGGTTTTCTGTCAACTCTAAAAAGCACTGCAAAATGATATAAGGTCATTCATGTTATTTCAGCAGATATATATCCATCCATCTCCCTACACAGATAGCAGCACAGAGCCATTTGAAGGGAATAAATTCAGCTATACCCTGGTACTCAACTTCGTTAAACTCACTAACGTGGTCCTCAGTGCATTTTGATGTGACAGTCTTGTCCTGATACTTGATGCACAAGTTAGAACTTGCAGATGTCGATTGCCTTGGGACTTGCTCCTGTTCCAGCCAAAACAATTTATTTGGTACTTGTCACTTTTGTACTCATCATGTTTCCCAGAACCAATCAACCATTAGTGTGGAGATTCCATTGTAACTAAAATGTGGTCCCTGCTTCCTAAGGATGACATACCAGGTGCTTGCAATGAAGGAATATCCAAGAACATGGGTCCCACGGGAAGGGGGCCAGGCCACCTGGAGCAGCACTGAGGCAGGCACGAGGGTAGAGGGAGCACAGGGACATGTGAGGGGCCCTTGGCCACAGGCATTTGACAGGATAAAAGTTGAAGAGCACTGGCACAACAGTGATGGGCAATTAAAAGCCAGAGGGCAGGCGGGGAAACACAGTGTCTACCCAGGCAACAGAGCCCCGGTTAGGGCTCTTGTCCTGTTGGTGAGAAAGAGCCTAAGGTAATCTTGGTCCTACTGGGGATCATGCTGACTCTGGAAGGGGGACACTGTTTAGTCTAATAGGTTTTGGAAAGCTGCTGGACATGAGCTCTGCAACTCCTAGGGTATGTCATCTCTGATTTGGCAGGAGCCAGCCCTGCCATGAATCAGGCAAGGGAAAGGGACACTCTGACTCAGGAGCTGGTGCAGGAGGAGAGTGTGAATGTATTAAACAGAAAAGGTAACAGTGGGGCAAATTCCCAAGGAAGGCACAGGAGAGCAGCCAGCAGTCCACACTCAGATTCATCCTAGTGCTTACTGTCCCTGGGAGAAGGCATGTGCTGAAAGGACAGCACTGAAAGGAACTGAAACATTGAGGGTACAGATGCCGCCCCCCCTGCCTCCCACCATCCCAGCCTCTCTTCAAACCGGCTTGTGTCGATTCTCCCAAGCATTTTCATTTTGTCAGAGTGTGTGACTAAATAAGTAGTCCATCACTTTGTTTTGTTAAGATACGGGGTCATTTTCAAATAATGTGCTTGAGGAAGAAAGAACCTGTGCTTTTTTAGACCTGTTGGATCTTTGTAGACTAATATAGATCTGAAGAAGGAGACTGTTTCAGGTTTTATTGTCCATTTTCTTCAGCACTATTTTGCAATATTCTGTTCTATTCTTGTGCATTCTGAGTGCACTTCTCAGCTGTGTGAAGGAGGGAGCAAGTGTTAGTTGGCTGCCAGTTCCTATCTGATCATCTTTTTCTTAGGGAAGCCCTTAGGTTATTTATAATTTAGAAAACATGTTCCAAGGTCTAAACAACAAGTCTACTCATAATTTCTCAAGTAATACCTCTATTTTTAGTCAGGAAGAGAGCTGCCCAGTGAATAACTAATGAATCAAATGATGTGCTGCCTCCCCCAGTGGGGTGACCAATACTAATGGCAAAATCTGTGCTTCAAAGTGGAAGTGAATGTGGTTTCTCACCCATTTAGGCAGGGCTAAAGAAAACACAAGTGCAAAACACAGTGTTCCCAAAATGAGAGAAATGGGGCCAGCCATGTGCACCTTGGGCTCAGATGCTTTTATGGGTCCAAAACCCACCATCCTGTGTGTGTGTGCCTGTGTGTGTGCACGTGCCTATGTGGATGTGCATCTGCATGTGTGTGCACGTATGTGTACATACACCTGTGTGTGTATGCGCCTGTGTGGATTTGTGCCTGCATGTATGTGCAGTTGTGTATATGCACGCATGTACATGTTCCTAGGGATTGAACCCAGGGTCTCACACATGCTATGCATAACCTCTACTGCTAAGCAACAGCCCCAGCCCACATCATCCTTGTATGATGAGCAAAATAAAGTATCTTTAAGTCATTTCTGTGTTTTAAAAAGATATAGATTTTAGTAAAGATTGCAGATTAAATATCACTTATTATATAAACTCTTAAAAGTAAGTTATTTTCAGAATTTGAGAAATTTCTATTGTGAATTTTTTGCTTCAGAGTCTCATGAAGCTCAGAAATATTTACTTTGATCTCTCAAGTAAATGGCTAATTAAACAGCCACATGTAGATGATGTTTACCTGTGGGCCCCGGTGCTGTCAGCCCCTTCTCTTGAGTAAACACATCATCAAAGCTGCTGAAACTCAGAATACATCCCCTCGAGACAGGTGAGAGCCAGCAGTGCCCGCACAGCCTATTGTGCAATTACATAATTGAGTCACATGCTTTTAATTCAGAGAAATTTGTAATTACTTTATGTGAAAAAAAATTATTTGGGTACTTTATTAAAATACTAAGTGGCATCATATTCCCTTTTTCCAAAGTGCTATCTGTTTATACCCAGCAGACCTTGGGCACAGTGAGTAGCCTGCTAATGTCACTTAGGGTGGACCAGGACCTGTCCCCTGCCATGAGCATGCTGATTTTGTTCACCCCAAAGCTGGTCCCCTAATGATCAGCTATCTTGTTAGTTTCTAAATACTCATTTGCCGGCTCAGAACAACATTTTCTCCTTTCTTTTAATGACTTCATGGATTAAAATCCCACCCTCTCCTTCACTTAGCATGTGGTCCTGCCATTGTTTGCATTCCTCCCTTGCTTCCTTTGGGTTTATGCAATCTCAATTCAACTAGCTGCCTATCAGACATTTAAATGTATTCTCTTTTTCCTCCAGAATGGAAGTTTTAGAGAACATGTGTGCAATTCACTTTTCCCGATATCCCTGGTATTTCCTCAGAATGAGTTCCCAGGTATAGAATTATTAGGTCAAAAGGTATCTACATCTTCCAAGTTTTTGTTATGTACTACCGAATCTCACCCTGCAAGGGTCATCACAGTTAGCAGTAATGGGTGAAAGTGGCATTTACTTTTTAAAAACCAATTTGAGAGGTGAAAATGACATCCAATCTTTTTTGTTCATTTGGCCTTTTTGTTAAAATTCAGGTCAAATTTGTTTCCTACCTATTTGTGAGCCATTTGAATTTCTTCTTTCATGATTTACCAATTCTATTAGGTAAGTAAGAGTTTTTTTTATTGATTTGTATGAACTTTTCAAATTTATGTTTTGTTGCAGCCTTTTTAACAGCTTGACTTTGCCTCTCATTTTTCTCAATAGTGTTTTAGACACAATATCTTTTCCATTAATAGCTTCATCTGTCTATGCATTTAAATATCATAATTGACAAATGTCTGCATATAAATCAAGAGCCTAGATGTCTTTTATCGTTCTACTATATGTAGATATGGTTCTACTGTAACAGGATCTATGTGTGAATGAGCTGTGAGGGAAATTCAAGTGGACTTGATGCTACGAGTCTGGGAATCCTACCAAGTATAATTCATGCAGTGGCTGACCTGCCATCAGGTGTGAGATGCAGCAGTGCCAGCATCAGCCCTTCTGTGGACTGTGCTCTGGCAACTGTTTCTGTGCCCTGTCTCCTGGGCAGGGGGTGGCAGAACATTGAGAGATTCTTTGTTGGTCTCGATGAGGCTTCATCCCGCCAAGAACAGTGAAACATTCTCATTTGCCTTCCTGGGATCCAGATGTTTGTGGTTCCAAGGGAAGCTTTATTCCTAATGCAGAAGTTAGACTGGTCCATTCATAGGCAGTGTCCAAAGCTCATGGAGCTCTGGCATCTGGAGGTATTTTCAGAGGCTGAGCTTTGTGTACAGCATGCAATATGTAAAAAAAAAAAAAAAAAAAAAAAAAGCTTCTTAACTCTTCTCTTCACTTTGCAGGTAGAGTAAGTGCCTGAACTTTTAGACAAGCCTCTTCAGCTTGGGGCTTCATTAGAATTACTCAGTTCTGGAACATCTGCAAACAGTGCATCCTGAGGATGTGTCACTGATGTTTTTCCTGACTCTGAAGAAGTGGTTTTTAACTAAAACCTTGTTTGACAGCTTCTTATCTGAGGCTGACTTATTTCTGTCTCACTTGTCCATTATCTGCTGCTTGCTGTGAATGTATATTGTGATTGTGGGCTGCTTTGCAGAGGGCCCCAGGACAGATCCACTACCTTCTCTCTGTGGGCTCAGTGGTCCAGGAGAGTTGAGCCAACCATCCTCATGTTGCAGTTTGACAATCTGCTCACTTCATGCTCTCTCTCTCCCTCCCTCCCTCTCTGTCTCTCTGTCTCTCTCTGTGTCTCTCTCCGTCTCCCTCCCTCCCCTCCTCTCTCTCTATATATATTATCTTTGAAAAGTTGTCTATAGAATTATTTTAAGAGATGAGTTCTAGGGTCAGCCAAATAGCTCAGCAGATTAAAGGGTCTGCAAGGTGGCACAGGGGCCAGGGATTTGATCCCTGGGCCTGTCATGCCAACCCCACCCCAGGGACATGCTGAGATGGCAATTGAGACTGGGTGTGGTGGCACCAGCCTGTAGTCCCAGCTCTTGGGAGGCTGTAAACAGGCAGATCACTACGTGTCTGATCTAGCAGTGAGACCCTGAACACCCTGTAGATCCTTTCCTAAAATAGGAAAGAAAGAAAAATCCTTTATAATGTTTCAATCAAAAAAGAAAGAGAAAGCCTGGAGATCCAAAGATGATTATTGAATAGTGAAGATATGAAGATAAATGGTGTCAAATGTACAAAATAAATGAAATTGGCAGAGTATTCTGCTTACCAGGTTACTCCCTCATCTCAGAAAAGAGTGCTCAGCACAGAACAAGTGGTGGCAGTGGTGGAAATATTTTTGCAGGATTATTGTGATATTCTATTGTGTGTTCTAAATTCTGAGACAGTTCAAATTCAACTCAAGTAAAAATAGGTCAGGTAGCAAATGGATGTACATAAGAGTGAGATTAACTGTGTGTCACTGTTGAGAGTGTCAGTCTAAAACAAGACACTCTTGGAGTGTCTTGGAGACCAGCTGTCCCAAGCCGACTTATTGGGACTGCCGGTGATTTGTGGTCATGGATATATGTGCTTGGTTGTCCAGAGAGGCCTCCTAGGGCTGGGAGCAAAGGGGAAGCTTTCACAACAGAGGAACATTAACAAAAGGAGGTGTCCATGCCAGCTACCTTGAACAGAGATACTCATTACAGGATCTTGTTGTAAGCCTTGCCCTTGGCTCGGGCACTGTCGTTAGACAGGCATGCTTGGGCAGGCAACTCCCATGGAATGTTGCAAGTAGCTTATCTAGAGAAGTACAACTTTGAGGAATGTCTTGCTCAGATCCTGTTGTAGGCATTCGTGCAGGAGGGCTTTTCCTTCATGGCCTCCTGACTACAACTTGTTGCCTTAGTGTAAATGACTCCAGTTTGATCCTGGTTAATTTATACAGGGGACTAGGAAATGTGATATGAGTCACTGATAGTCCGCAACAGTTTTAACAGTCAGAGGAGGAAAGTTATTTATTTTAAATTGTGTACAAACCTATGAATCTTTACATAATCTGCAAATTCAATGGTAGAATGTATGAAGAGCTTTAGTCTTTTTGACAGTTTTATTCTTTAAAATCTTATTTAAACAGTGATTAAGATGGCATGTGAAGAAATTACTTCTTACATTGTTTACTCAGGATATGTGAATAAGTGCTAAACCTCAGGAAATGAAAATTACAGCTTTCACTGTTGTAATGGTTTGTGACTAAGTGTCGCCCCAAAACCTCATGCAGTCATGGGTTGGCTGCATTGAGTTTGTGACAGACTGTTACAGGTGTGGGTGCTGCACCTACCTTGGGGCAGGTAATATACTAATTACAGTGTAAGGAGGGGAGAGAGGCTGGCTAGCTGCCACAGCTGCTGTTCCTCCCTTTGCTTTTTGCTCTTTGCCACCACCCTAAACAGCTGTTCTCTACCATGTGCCACTCTGCCTTGGAGCCAGCTAATTATGGACTGAAACCTCCACAAACTATGCACTAAATAAACCTTTCCTTCATTCATTTTGGATGTTGGGTATTTTGTCCCAGCAATAAGAGAAAAGTAACTGAGACACTGTGGGATTTAGGCCAATTCTTTCTGTTTATATTATAAAATGCTTTTCATGCACCCAGGATTATTGGGCACAGACAGACTGGATTATGATAGAGAGAGACACCCCCCCCCCCAGGACAGTGACGAGGCACACTGGCAGTTGAAGGCTGGCATATCAAGGGGTTCTTGTCTACATTACTTACTCTCCCTGGGCAGTGTCCGGGGGCAGGCACAGTGCAAATGTATATAAGCAGCAGGGAAGAGGAGAATAAGCCATAATGGGAGCCAGCTTTGGCCTGGGCTCCGGGAAGCAGCCTCGGGTATGGGAGTCCAGTCTGCAGGAAAGGGGAAACAGCAGCTCATCTCAACAGAGTCATTACCACTGGGCTGCATGAGGCTCAGGCTGAAGGGCTAACTTGATGCCAATCTTTGGCCAAGGGTTAAAACTTTAACCCCCACCACCATCCTAAACCAGCTACTCCAACTGCTAGAATGGTCCATGAGGCCCACAGGCTCTCTCCCCAAGAAGGGGAGAGGGCAAGTGTCTTGTAGGAGGTCAGGGCTGAGGGAGTTGCAAAGTTACATGTACCAAGCCAGGCTCCTATGCTCTGCCTCAGTGCTTCTTCCTCAGCATATCCACTTTCTCTGATAAATCACAGGCAAGGTGCTACTTCTCCCTGTCATAGTCATTCAAGAAATTGTAGATTACAGACCGCCTCTGGCTTTGCTGTATTGCATTTCTCACAGGGTGGGCTGATCACTGCCCTGTATACTCCACCATTATTCATAGCAGTGTCCTCTTTAACTCTGCTTTTGAACAGAAATTGAAAGGAAAGGGGGCCAGGGAGATGGCTCAGTAGAATAAGCACTTGCCTGGCAAGTGCAAGGGCCTGAGTTCAATCCCTGGTTCCACCAAAAAAAATAAATAAAATAAAATAAAACAAAACTGAACAGCATTTGCTTTGGGGCTGGGGAGATAGCTGAGTAGAATAAGCACTTGCCAGGGCTGAGTTCAATCCCCGGTTCCACCAGAAAAAAAGAAAGAAAGAAAGAAAAGAAAAGAAAAGAAAAGAAAAGAAAAGAAAAGAAAAGAAAAGAAAGAGAAAGGAAGACAGGAAGACATACATTCTGGCAGTGAGACAGTGTGCTTGGTGGCTGTTAACCCTCATTTTCTGCCTATTTTTATGTCTTGAGGGAAAGGTACAGACCTGGAATTTGAAAGACCTGGGTTCTCAGCTGGTCTGAGAAGTGACACTGTTTCCTCACCTCTTAAGTTGGCAGTGATAAATCTGTCTCCTGCATGTAAGTTGGGACAGGCCAGCCTGTGGCACTATGCAAATAATAGGTAGCATGGTAGGCAGGGTCCCCTGCTCACTGGACTTCAGGGTGGAACACTGGCTGCCTTAATCCTTGCCTGTCAAGAGTAGTAGGCTCAGCCATGGTTTTCTGCTATGTGTATGCCTCAGCCACCAAGTTTGTCTTCAGTGTTCCCTTTTGGGGGAAGCTCAGAGGTCAGTTCTAGGAGTTTAGGGCAAGGTCACATCTTCCCAGATTTGTTTCTTAGTCCCAACCAACTCTGTGTTACAAATAGAATTCATGCTCCTTCAGAAAAGAGATCTCGGGGCCTGAGTTCTGTGTGTATTGGAGGGAGGGCAGACCAACACAGATGAACAAAGCCAGTCACCATGCGTACATGGACTTCTGTAGGTTCAGTCAAAAGAATACCTTCTTATGAGTTTAAAGTGTTATAAAGAATTAAATTATGCTAGATAAGACCAGATGATATTTTATCTTGAGGATATTTTAATTTCAGTTAATGTTAGGAAACAAACTAAATCTTAAGTAAAGCATAACCTAAAATGATATTTGAAGTCTAAATCTTTGAGACTAAGGAGAATGTTCTTATGCTATGTTTTGATTTCTTTGTACTTCCTCTGAAATTCTAGACAGCAGCAGCACTGAGCAAAGGTATCACAGCAGCATGTGAAGCCAGCTCAGCCACTCACAGTGATGAATCATTGTGCAGCATGCCATCTATTCTGCAGGAGGGTCCGGGGATAAAGGACACAAAACCTGCCTTCCGGCTCAGCAGTGTTCACATGAGAGACCAAGGTAACTGCTCTTAAAGAGTCTGTCCACCGCATGGAGGCTTCCAGAGTCAGTGTGATGTCCTGCCTCACGTGTACCTCTAGTTAACACTGGCTGCAGGACATCACTGATTTTAACGCACATAATGTGTTAGTTGTTTTATACCACCTTCCAGTAAATATGTAGTGTGTTCTTTTTAGTCTAACAAGAATGAGAAGCCTCATAGTAGGTCTGTACTTCTGTTCAGTTTCTAATGAAATAGATGTTAAAAGTTGTGAAAGATAAGCCTAATCCTTAGCAGGAGATCATTTTGATCCCACATGATTCCTAATGTACTTTGAGGTTTTTGAAATTATTTAATAGAATTTACCCATAATTTTATATATGCTTTTTAATTTTAATAGAACTTTATCAAAGTCTAGGTAACGAATTTGTGCCCTGAAATTCAATATTCAGTTTTAGTACCCAGAAATTGTGGGTATTTTAGCGTTACTGCTGCATATGCCAGTCTCGTGCACATTTCTCACAGGATGGTTACTGCTCTGTAACAACTTCCAGGGCAGCTGTGTGTTGCTCACAGAAACTATTGAGAAGTTAGCTGGTTTGTGCACCCAGTATTTGAGGCTCACTTGTCCCATCCAAATGTGCAATAACAAAGATCTGTTCCATAACTTTGAAATATGTTTACTTTATAATGTGTTTGATTTTTAGAAGAAGATGAGAGCGAACAAGAAAGCATGAGCTCAAAGGTGCCAGTCACAGGTAAGGTGACAGCCGCCCTGACAGCTGCCAGCCCAGATTCAATCTTGTATAGTCAGGACCTTCCAGGTGAACAGCTTGTGGCCCTCAGAGAGCAAGCATATGTTACTGTTGCACACTGGAGCAGGGACAAGTAGAACACAGCAGCCGAGCCAGCATCCCACAAATGAAGCAGCAGACAACCACATCCAGGAAGCCCCTCCTGGAGCCCTTATGTGTCTACACCTGCAGCCTCCTCCACACAGCTGTTGAGCACACTTTGCCCATTCTGGGACACCCAGTCATTAACCCAAAGGTCAGAGATGCTTCTGACTTCACTCCTTTCTTTGCTTTGGTAGTGGAAGGTGCATCATAAAAACAAGAGCAGGAAAAAATGCCAGACAGGGAGCTTGCCTTTACCTCCTTTATAAAGCTGGTCTGGTAATTTAAAAATTTCACCAGTCAAGCTTTAGCAAGACCCATTCGGATTTCTGAACATGTGTTAGGTGTGTTTAGATGGAATTTGAATGATATCATTATGATTTTTAGGTTTAGACTATCAACAGCAGCAATTAGTATTCTGAACAGAGCCCTGTTTGTTGTACATCTAAATTTACTGGCACCTTGTTTTGTAAAGTGGTGCCTGGCTTCATTATAAATGCAAAGGTCTGACTTTAAATATTTATACAAGTGACTCCACCCTTGCACGAGGAGCAAAGGCATGCATCTGCATATGTGCTGTGTTGTTCTTGTTCCCAGCAGAAAGGGGCAGCTCACATTGTGCAGTGCATGGCATAACAATTAATTCTTTTAGTGTTTGTTTCTCTGATAAACTCTGGATTTGAAAAAAAGAGTTTATAGCAGGGCAATGATGATGTATTTTAAATGTCATTCCAAAATTCAGAGTTTTTCTTTTCTTTTAAACATTTTCCTACAGCAATGTTTATTATGTTTTTTATTCATTTTGAGAAAACTCTGTCAGGTCCTCTCTTGATTATTTTGATCAATAGGAGAAATGTAGACAATATCCAACTACAGATAACCAGGAAGTCACTCACATGCCTTCTCCTTGCATTTACCTTTGAATGCAGAACTATCGAATGGCCTCTGCATTGATTCCAGTTAAGATTATAAATTCTTACTGGAGAGAAACCAGGGAGTGACCCAATGCCGATTCTTACTTCTCTGGTCTCTCTCTGTAAATAGGTGACACTCTCCAAAATTAATACAAATGCCATTCACTTTCTTACCTCCTTGCCAAAGAAGTATGGTGTGTATAGGGATAGTTATCAGGGCTATTTACAATTAAGGGGTGTGTGTGTGTGTGTGTGTGTGTGTGTGTGTGTGTGTGTGTGTGTTTTTAAGACAGAGTTTCACTGTGCAGTTCAGGCAGGCCTTGAACTCACTTCATAGCCCAGGCTGGCCTTGAACTCACAGTAATCCTCCTGCCTTAGCCTCCTAAGTACTACCATTAAGATTTTAAAAGCACTCATAATCACAGCAACCTATCATAAACCCATCAGTTGTCAGAAGTTTGACTTTGTACTGTTATATATGGCAAACTAAGAAACTTAGTAAACTCGGAGCTTTGCAGCTGTGTCCTTGCAACCAGGTTTGCCCCTCTGTGCCGCTCCTCGACTGCCCTCAAACTCATGTTTGAGGACCCCTGCACTTCTGCTCAGTCAGCCATAGTACTGTTGCTATGTCAGCTGCTTCATTCTCTCAGTTCTTGACCATCATCCTTTATTAAATTTTTGTGTCTGGCCTGGCTATTTGGAGATGAACTTTTGGTAGAGTAAGACAAATTGTATAGGTCAATTTAAGATGGAATTTGCTCACTCCCTCCTAATAGTTCCCTTGGCATTTCCTGTTTGTAGCTACATGCTGATTGTACTTGCGTGGTTGTATTACTTCTAGAATATTCCAAAGAAAAGGAATATTGCAGAAAGTGTTCCCTGGGGTTGAGGAGATGTATCAGCTGAGCCTCGGCTTGGCATCCACTAGCACTGTCTTCCCCCTCCTGCCCTGTTTCTTCAGTCCGTGGGCTTCTGTACAGGGAACGTAAGTATTCTACCTGACAGGATTGTGTGTGAAAAGTGCTGAGCAGATAGAAGACACTCAGTGCATACCATCTGTGATGTGTAACACCACTCCTGTGCATGTCGGAGGTTTGAACTGTGCTGGTACTCAGTCCTCTCCATACCAAGCACATCTAGGTGAAATGAACCTCATGAAACAAACTTGGAGACACAGGGGCTGGGAACACAGCTGGAAGGAGTCCAGGCACCAAGTGCAGTGCTGCCCCTAAAAGTGGGAGCCACATCAGGCTGGGGCCAGCCCAGGTGTATGCACTTCCCATGGTGCCACTTAATTAGTTCCTGCCAGCAGTTTCCATGTGAGCACACAGTTGATGGTTTGAGTCCAAAAAGATGCATACCTACCAAAAAGGAAACTTGAAGTTTCAGGAAATGTTTGGACCTTCCAATTAGTATTCCCTGTGAGAGAACACTAGAAGAGTCCCAGAAGGCTAAAGCTATAGCTCCTGGGATCCCATTGGGCAAGGCTGCCCATCTCTGCCTAGGAGGCCTTACATCCTCAGCGACCAGTGTGTGCTCCCAGCTGGGCATGTTGCAGGCCACCTGGTCACCCAGCAACAGCACTCCGTTGGGTGCTGCCTCTTCAGTGCTGCTGGATAGTACGGCATTTCCCAGAATTCCCCAGAATGTGTGCTGTGTGGCACTCCACCCAGGAAATACTTGAATGAATACACATTTTGTGCCAAGCTCTGGCTGATCTTGTTGACCCCATGCAGCATACAGCACATCTGAGACGCTGCTGCATACTTGATGGAGCATCTGCTAAGCATAGTTGCAGCATGTGGTTAGAAGAAATAGAAGAGCTGTGCACTCCACATTGCTTGAACCAGGTGCAGTGCTGGGTGTGAGCATCTCTGGTGGGTGTGGGAACGCTTCTCAAAAGGACTGGGGAGCATTCTTGTTTCTGGGTCCTCTGATATTCCTTCTGTTGCCAAGACTGATCTCATTCTGTGCTGAAGGAACCACATGCACCAACATTCTTGTATCTATATTTTCCCTTCTTGTGTGCTTATCACCCCAAAACTCAGGTCTCCTTGGGAAAGGGGCTTTTTTTTTTTTTTTTTTTTTTTTTGGTGATACCAGGGATTGAACTTAGAACCTAGTGCTTGCCAGGCAAGCACTTATTCCACTGAGCGATCTCCCAAGCCCAAGGAGCTCATTCTTAAAGTGCCTGCTTCTGTAAGTTCACTGGGCTACAATTCACAAAGGACTGGCTCCTGTCACACGCCCACACCCACAGCCAGCATGTGAATTCTTGCACCTGCACCTGCACCTGCACCTGCACCTCAGGGCCAGCTTGTTACCATCATCTACCCCTTTTGTCTGGCTGTTCTCACTGAAGTGTCCAGTTAGAAATCTAGGTCAACTCTGATGTCTATGAATCTGTAGTCTCCTGTATGATAACTGACATATCATTCACCTGTTATCACTCCTTTTCTTGGGCTGCATCCTGGGATACCAGGGTCAGAAGAGGCCTGGTTGTTACCCTCAGGAAACCCCCAGCATTTATGATCTTCACACTGGTCCTGTAGGCTAAACATCAGTAACTTCATCCCTGCAGTGGTGAAACAGATCCTCTGAGAGGCCTTGTCCTCTTAAGCTGTGTGGCCTGTGTTTCAACTTGGAATTGCACTCCAACTTTTGGATTGAAACTCCTTCTGCAGGCTGCTCTTTCCTCTCACCAGCCCGGCACGAGCACCAAGATGGTTGGCTCAACCAAGCACAAGTATGTGTCATAACAAGACGAGTTCTGCAGGGATGCTCTGGAGAACGAGGAGGAACAAAGCCTTCCCTCACCTCGCCTTTCTGGGGAGCTTCCCAAATGTGGTTTCTGTGAGTGCAGCATTTCTGGCAGTAGGGCAAACGAACACACTGCCTCTATGACCAGTGTGAGCCAGAAACACTCAGACAGGAGTACTGATGCTTCGCAAGACCATAGAAGAACACCTCTGGGTGGGCCACTCTCATGCCCATACTGCAGGTCTCCACACCAGCAGTTTTAATTGTATTCCCACTGAGTTACCTTTCAGCACTTCATTTTAGTTAGTGACAGAGCTGATGTTAAATGTCATCAAATCCAGCACCCAACACAGAGTCTGGCACACAGTGGACATTTATTTTGTCAAACTAATAAATAAAAATTGGGATGCTGAGTTTCCCTAATAGTCGTTGATTCAGGCCAGAGTCCCGTGTCTATCACCCCACCAGCACTCTCCCACCCCATGTGCCCATCGTGACAAAACTCATCTCCTTAGCCCCATGTGAAAATGACCCTCAGCTTTTAACTCAAGAGGATTAAGCCTCTAAGAATGCCCATTCAGCTTTCATTCCCTGACACCAGTTCTCCTGGTCAAGCTGTGTGGCAAGTGCTTGCACACTGGGTCTTCCTCACACAGTCTGGAAGCTGAAACACTATGAGTTATGCAGAGTGTTTGAGGGTCGGCCTGCATTTACAGGGTGCTGCTCTGAATTGTGGGCACTGTTTCCCAAGACTGTTGCCAGAGTTTTACACCAGGTTGGAAAAAGGTCATCATTGGTGACTGGATTTATGCTGCAAGGGAAGACCACAGTGACAGCTGACACAGAGCAGTACATCACTTCCAGTACCAAGACCCTGCTAAGGAGATGCTTCTCCTCTCTTGTCCCCAGAGTGCTTACTGATGACTCAGTGGAGGCCCAGGGATCCCTATACTCCTATAAAACCAGGCAGCCAGTGTGTGCTGTGGGACTGTCCATCTCAGTCCTTGTGGCCTGGTTTCCAGGGCAGCAGTTGGCCATGTTGCTTGTGACCCACTTCTAGCGATAGCCCATATTCCTTGCAGCACTGTGCATGGGGGCTGGATTGGGGTGTTATTTACTGTGGAGGTTAAAAAGTTAAGGGTGCCTTTTGGAGCAGAGCTGCTGATTAGATGGTTCTGTATCCTAGAG